CTCTTTTTAAAGGAGCTGATCTTTGACAAATGTGCCAAGAACACACATTAGGGCTGCAAAAGTTAATGATTTAGATATATTTATCATAATCTGTTCTTAACTTTTTTGATAAAAAGAAAAATAGACACTACTTATTTCAAAGAGTGGGAGATTTATGCTACATCCATGAATTCTTTAACATCTTGCTTATTAGGAAAAACTGACAACCCTAGTTTTTTTTTTTAGGTTCTGATGCACTGAACATTTTAAGAGAGTTCTTCTCTAGTTATAGAAGCCCTCTTTATGTCCATTACAGCTAGTACAAACTCTGTGTTAGCAGAACAAGTGTTCTAGGGGGAATGGATGGATTCTTTGTCCATTAATACCCAACGTTGAGAATGTGTATTATTTATCACCCTCTCTTCTACATTTCCTTTTATTGTACAATCTACAACTTAATTCACAGAAAATTTGTAGAGAATGTTAGTTTTCCCTGTACTTTCCAACTAAACAATGATTAAACAATGATTAATCACTCCTGGTGATTAAAACGTCTTCATGTCCAAGTGAATACAACTCCCATTCTTGGGCAATGAACCTGCCTCCAGCTACCCAAGTTGCCATCTTCCTCTGGCCCAGGCTGAGGTTGGGGAGAGACACCTCTGGTTTTCTGCTTCAGTGCTGGGTGCCACCTGCTTCTAGGGAACTGGAGGGAGGCAAAAGCCTAGGCCACCTTGCTGCTGGCCAGGCCCCGTCTGTGGCACTCACCTGCCTCAGGGACATCACTGCTACATTATTTGCAGTGAGCCTCATAGACTACCACATGCCCAGATCCTCTTTTTTATTGTTTTTTAAAAAAATTCCATTCAAATAATCATCTTTGACATCTTGTTAAATACATGGCTTGTGTATTGGGCTTAGTATTGCAGTAAACATGAGCATGCAGATATCTCATTTATAGAATGATTTCCTTTCCTTTGGATAAATATACCTAGTGGTGGGATTACTATATCATGGGATAATTCTGTTTTTTATTTTTTGAGGACTCAATATGCCATTTTCCACAATGGTTATACCAGTTAATATTTCCACCAACCGTGTATGAAATTTATCCCTTCTCTGCATCTTGGCTAGCATTTGTAATTTTTGTCTTTTTGATCATAGCAAATTTAACCAGGGTGAGAGATATCTCCTTGTAGTTTTGATTTGCATTTCCCTGATGACTAGTGAACATTGTTCAACTATGTTGAACATTTTTTTCATATACTTGTTGGCCATTTGTATGTCTTTTTTGAGAATCATCTATTTAGCTCATTTGCCTATTGTAAAATCAGTTTTTCTCTGTTATTGAGTGGCTGACATCCAATCATCTGGATATTAACCCCTTTTTCTGATGAATAGTTTATAAATATTTTCTCCCATTCCGTAGGTTGTCTTGACTGGTTCCTTTGCTGTGCAGAAACTTCTTGGTTTGATATTATCTTGTCTGGTTTTGCTTTCACTGTGCATTGGGGGGGTTCTATCCAAAAATTGTTTTTCCAATTTCAATGTCTTGAACTATTTTTCTTATGTTTTCTTTTAGTGGTTTCATAGTTTCAGCACTTACATTTAGGTTCTTGATCCACTTTGAGTTGATTTTTGTATATGGTGAGAAATAGGGGTATAGTTTAATTCTTCTGTATGTGCATATTCAGTTTTCCCAGCATGATTTGTTGAAGCAATGGTCTTTTCTTCAAGGTATGTTCTTGGTGCATTTGTAAAAAAAAATCAAATGTCTATAAATATGAGAATTAATTTCTGGATTTTCTGTTCTGTTCCACTGCTGTGTGTGTGTTTTTATACAAGTACCATGCTGTTTTGATCACTATGGCTTTGCAATTTGTATCGAGGTCATGTGTTATATGAATTTCCATTTCACTGTACCTCACCTACCTGGAGAATAAATAATAGTTTTTAAAAATATTTATTTTTTAGTTTTAGGTGGACATGATATCTATCTTTATTTTATTTTTATGTGGTGCTGAGGATCGAACCCAGTGCCTCACACATGCCAGGCGAGTGCGCTACCACTTGAGCCACATCCCCAGCCCCTAAATAATAGGTTTAATAATTTTTGTTGTTTTGGCAAATGAAAGTTGGTACTTCATTTTAGTGTGTATTTCTTTGATCACAAATTTGGACATCTTTTTTTATATTTATTTTTTTATGTGGCTTTTTTCCTCTGAAGATTATTTGCTCTTGTTTTTTGCCTGTCTTTGTATTGAAGTACAATTTTATTACTAATTATAAATTAAATACATATACACATGCATATGTTGAAGTCATCAATCATGTCAATAGTTCTTTAATATATGATAATATTTACAATATTTCAAGTGGTTTGTTTAAAATGTGAAGCCAGAAAGAATCCAGAGGAAAACAATAAAATATTACCACCAAAAGAGACATTGCAAAATTTTTTGTGAATTTATTTCCAGAGAGCTCATTAATATTATTTATTACATAATATTTCAATTGATAAGTGATTTTTGGCACCAAAAATTTCATATATTAAGTGTCTATTCATTCAAGAGTATGTTTTTGGAATTATTATGATTTGTGGTGGCATATACTACTACTGTCTGGATCACTGTAATTTTTATAAAATGTAGCACATGTTTCATGATATATGAGCCAGCCCCTTGGTTACTACTTTTTCTTGTTTTCAAGTTTATTTATTTATAGTGACATATAAAATTATGTGTTCATTGTGTACAACATGATGTTTTGAAGTACATAGTCATTGTGTAGTGGTTAAATATAGCTAATTACCCCATGCATTACCTCATATGAAATGATGACTATCATTTCTTTATGGTGATAGCACTTAACCATCCTCTTAGCATTTTTCAAGAATACAGTATGCTGTCTTTAACTATATTCATTATATTGTACAACAGATCTCTGAATTTATTCCTCTTACTTAATTGTAATTTTGTATCCTTTGATCATCCTCCATCTACTCCCCCACTCAACTGCCCCAGGCTCTAGAGATCACCATCTATTCTATTTTGAGATCAACACTTTTTTAGATTTTACATATGAGTGAGTTACACCCTATTTGTCATTCTCTGTGTGTACTGTACTTAACATAAGATCCTCCAGGTCCATTTGTGTTATTGCAAACGGCAGAATTTTCTTCATTTATTTTATTTTATTTAAAAAAATATCTTAATTTTATTTATTTATTTTTATGTGGTGCTGAGAATTGAACCCAGTACTTCACATGTGCGAGGCAGGTGCTCTGCCACTGTGCCACAGTCCCACGCCCTCTTCATTTTTAAAAAAAAATATTTATTTTTAGTTTTAAGTGCACAATATCATTATTTTATTTTTATGTGGTGCTGAGGATTGAACCTAGTGCCTCATGCATGCCAAATGAGCACTTTACCACTGAGCCATAAACCCTAGCCCTTCTTCATTTTTATGATAAAGTAGTGTTCCATTTCATGTAATACAAATACACTTTCTTTATCCATTTATCTTTTGATGGACACTGAGGTGTGCTACAATAAGCATGGAAGTGCAGGTATCTTTTTAGCATACAAACTCTCTCTCTTTTGTATGTATACCAAGTAATGGGACTGCTGGATCGTGGAAACAAAACTTCTTTTAGTTCTATTATTAATTTCAAACTATTTTTGCAATGTCTTCCCCCCAAACCAACAATTGTTTGGTGAAATTATATAAACTCATGAATACTTTGAGAAGATCTTGTATATTTAGTGATTGTAGGTGGCATTCATTTGTCCATTTTATTTTTGGCTAGTTTTGTCAGTATAATGAACAATCTAGACTTCCCCCCCCTCATTTTGCTCTTCTTTGGATTACTCTTGGGAACTCCTTAAAACTGTATTACTTTCATGGAAGTATCTTCCTGCTTTACTTTTCTTGAATATTTTGTGCTGGGAAAAAGAAATAATAAAACAAACAAAGATGTAGAATAAGTGCACATACCCTGCAAAGTGCACATACCCTACAAAGCTATATGACAAGTTTTGTAACAAGCTCTTCTTGATAGCTTTGTAATCCAATACTCCCTAGACACCATTGTGCCTGATATCTGGAAATGCCTGGGAAGACAGTGTTGAGTATTGCTACTCTTACCCTTGTCTCTTTAGACATTTGACCAATGACATCTTTGGAAAATTCAAAGGGAAAATGGAAATTTCTAAGGGCATTTTCTTATTTTTCCTCATTTCAAATTCTGTCATTCCATTTGCTCGGTTTCTCTCTCTTCAAAATTTCCAATACCTATGGCATTGAATTGGATTAAATCTTATAGGATCCACTTCCTTTAGATACGTTGTCATTTTTTTAAGTAAGGTTGTTCTGTTTTAGTCTCACAATCCTTTCTGACTGAAGCAGTAATCAAGTTTGTGTCTTTGATGCAAGCTCATTTCCTCCCCATTACATATCCAACACTCATGCCTGATAATACCATTCCACTGCACGACCAGCACGCTGGTTTCATACAAGAGGTTCGTAGCATAGAAGTTAACTAGTGAGATCAAAATAAACACACAAGACTCAGTTACCTTTTTCTTTGACCAGGTCCGAGATGGCCCTCCCTCTAGCTCTCGCCTCGAACCACCTGGTGAGGCAGCAAGGCTTACTCAAGACTAGCAGGAGAAAGAGAGAGAGAGAGAGAGCACACCAGGGAGTGGCCTTTTATTGGGGAACAAGAAATTCAGGGGAAAATTCCATCCAATGAAGGTCAAGGGGGGCAGCATTCCAAGGTCAGGGTCAGTGATTGGTCTCAGGGTCAATGGTCAGTCACACCCCCACACGGACAGGCTCTTGCACCTGGAGAGGGTGTGGATAAGCTCCAACACAATTTGGCCAGAACACCTCACACCCAATCAGGGAGGTGCCCAATCATGTGCAAGAATGGCTCCCCACATATTCCCCCTTTTTCCTCTTAAAAATCAGGCGGTGGTTCACTCTTTTTTGAGTTTCTGTATTCTTGTTCCGAAGACTCGCCATCCTATAATTACAACACAAAAGAGAATTTACAGCAAAGAGAACAATCCAATAATGTATCAGGCTGAGTGTTTAAGAATATTTCCAGGGTTAAATCCATTTAACTCCTTCAATATTTGGTTAGCCAAAGAAGAAGGATTTGAATGTCTTGGATATGGTGATGAAGTTCCAAAAGATCCAAGCTATTATTATTATTTTGCCAAATACCTAACAAATGGTTTTTAACCTTCTCCCAATCCGAGAGAGAAGCATTGTACTTGGCAGCTGTAACACACACATATTTATAATTTGCGTGGCATTTAAGCCTTTCTTTAAATTTGAAAGCTGAAAGTTCATTACCTATGTCTCTAACAGTCGCCTCTAAGGCGTTTAATTTAGTCTCAATCCTTTCATCAATATTTACTTGATTACACAGAGCCTTGGAAGTATTTTGAGCTAAATTATTAAGAAATTTTGCGAATATTTTGAGACAATGTCAGAGATGCAGAAACAGTGGATGCAATGAAAGAAACTAATGCCAAAACACCAACAATTATAATTCCAATAGCACGTTTAGGTCTTGCTACTGGGCATGAATTTGCTGCAAGACTTGTAAACCTGTATCAGCATACCATGGCTCTGAAATATTATCAGGTAATAAAACAAAAGAGGGCTGATGAAGTATCAGCACTCCTTTTCCTCCATTATACCTAGTAATACAATTGGTTAAGTTACATTTGTTACATGTAACAACATATCTGTCATCTATCCATTTAACTTTTACATTTCCAATAATTAAAACATAAGGAGATTGAACACAGGCTCATAAGCCAAGATCCCTCCTTACAGTTCTTGCCAACAAATTTTGGTAAAGGCTTTTCTGTAAAATGTAAGAATTCTGAGGCAGCAATTAAGTGCCAAACATCTTTTTGAATACCACCCTCACTGTAAGTCAAAATATTACTAACAAATCTTGCAGGTGTCTAGCAGAATTTTTTCGTAATTGTCTCATCAATTTTTGGAGACCAGTCTAAGATATACCCAGTATCTTTAGACACCTTATGTTGTACAGGAAAAGTATTTACACAATCCATCCATCTAGGAAAGGTGCCAATATCAATTGTAGAACTATTTGGACAGTGGGGTATCCGTGGAGGTTTTGCAGAAATGATTGGCTTGTTATGGGAAAGTCCCATCTTAATTACTGATTTAGTATAAGGTTTTAAGTCTCCATAAATAGAATAATTAGTCAGTCTAGGTCTACCAATCGCTGTCTTTTCCTCAAATGATACTTTCAGACAGCCAGCGTGTTTATCTTGGGACCAACACAAAGGTAATTGGGCACTGTAGCCAGAATAATTAAATCTAGTCACATGATTGGGAGTAATATGTGTATCTGTAAATCCTCCCATCATGAATGAGTCATTAGTAAACACTGGAATAGATTCTCCAGTCCACACATCTGGGTGTACCAGGGGTGGATCTGGGAAATATGTCCAGTAAGTGTCTATCTGATTCCCCTTTACCTGACAGCCCAGCAGGGCAATTACTGTAGCTACCATCAAGACTGGGGTCCTGTTCTTTCTTAGGAGTCGAATTATTCGGGAAGCCTGTGTTGTTAGCTTCTTCACGTCTTCCCATGAAATCAGCTTTTCGGCTGGGTCAATCTGGTTTCTCTGTCTTTTTCGATATCTCTTCCTTTTGGATGGGGGCTTCTCCGGGTCAATCTTCAGTTGCTTGAATCTCGGTTCTATCTCTTCCATGTCTGATTGCGCGTTCAGGCACCCAGATAGGACGAAAAGCATCTTCTGGAAAAATACAAGCATGACCTCTGCCCCACATAATCACTGGATCTGGGCCTTTTCATTGACCAGTCTGTAAATCTTTCCACAAAACTCTGCCTGAAGGGCCTGTTACTGAGGGAGATATTTGCCTCTCAGCCGCAGTGTGACCTTCTACGTCACAGTTTAAAAAATTTCAAATGAACAAGGAATGATTGAGGCTATTTTGGGGATTCATAGACCTATTCCCCCCTTTTAATTTTTGTAATTGAAGCTTAATAGATAAATGAGCTCGTTCCACAATGGCTTGACCTTGGGGGTTATAAGGAATTCCTGTTTTGTGATTAATTTGAAATTCTTGGCAAAATTGTTGAAAAGAAGAGCTTACATAAGCTGGGTGCATTATCTGTTTTAATCTGTATAGGGCACCCTAACACAGAAAAATCTGCTAGGCAATGAGAAATTATATGTTGAGTATTTTCCTTAGTATGTGCTGTGGCAAAAATAAATCTGGAATATGTATCAACTATGACATGTACATAACATTGCTTACCAAATTGAGGAATGAGTTACATCCATTTGCCATATTTGATTTGGTTTTAATCCACGGGGATTTACCCCTGATGGTGGAGATGGAGTGTGAATAATACACTTAGGGCATTGGCTTACAATTTGACAAGCTTGTTCTCTGGTAATATTAAATATTTTACGTAAGCTAGAAGCATTTTGATGATGCAAGGAATGGGAAGCTTGTGCACAGTCATATTAAGACATCTGTTGACAAAAAGCTACTAATTTATCAACTTTGTCATTACCTGAAACTAAAGATCCTGGAAGATTAGTGTGAGCCCGTATGTGTCCTATGAAACATGGGTATTTTCGCATTAGCACTGCCTTTTGTAAATTATGAAATAATTCAGATAACTCTTGTGATGAAGTATACCCAATAACTGAAGTTTCAATATTTTTGGTAACTCCGACTGCATATAAGCTGTCAGAATAAATATTAATAGGCTCATTTGCAAAGTAATTTAAGGCACAAATAAGAGCTTGAAGCTCTGCTCTTTGGGCAGAAGTATATGAAGTTTGCATTACCTCTGTGTGAAGATGACTATAAAAACCTGCTTTACCTGAGTTAGAACCATCCGTGAACACCGATAAGGCCTCATCTATAGGACGTGCACACACAGTCTTTGGAAAAATAAGTGAAGTTAATGATGCAAATTGGATAATCTTATTACGAGGGTAATGGCTATCTATCTGACCAGGAAAATCAGCAAAAGCTATCTGCCATAAGCTAGAAGTTTGAAAAAGCCAATTAGTCTGTTGAACAGAAAATGGAATAATTATGATATTAGGCTCAGATCCAATTAATTGTAAAATCCTAGTTCTACCTTTAATTACTAATTGAGCAATAGAGTCATGAAAGGAGTCAATGTTTTTTGATGGGAGTGGGCTAAAAAATCCACTCAATAACTCCTAATCTTTGCCATATGGCTCCTGTTGGGGTATGCTCAGTTGGAAATATTAATAAATACACTATTTCCTTAGGATCAACTCTAGTAAGCTGTGCATTTTGAATTGCATTTTCAACCCTTTTTAAGGCTGTTCTAGCCTCTAAGGTCAGCTGACGTGGAGAGGTTGGAGAAGGATTTCCTTGTAATATCTGAAATAAAGGACTTAATTCAGAAGTAGTTTTAAGAATGGCCTCAGCCAATTAATATCTCCTAATAGCTTTTGAAAATCATTAAGGGTATGTAACTCCTTAACTCTTATCTGAAGATTTTGAGGACGGATTGTACGTCCTTGAATTATCTGACCTAAATATTGAAAGGGAGGCATCTTTTGAATTTTTTGAGGAGCAATGCATAAACCCATTGCTGTAAGTGAAGCCTCTAACTGAGTAAAAATTTCTGAAAGTACCTCTGGATTAGCATGAGCCAATAATATATCATCCATAAAATGAATAATATACACATCAGGAAAGCTATTTCTTATGGGAGCTATCACCTGATCTACATATTTTTGGCATAAGGTAGGACTATTACGCATTCCCTGGGGGAGTACTTTCCAGCAATATCTTTTAACAGGTTCCTTAAAATTAATTGCTGGTACAGTGAAGGCAAATTTTTCACAATCTCCAGGATGTAACCTTATAGAGAAGAAACAGTCTTTTAAATATATTACCATCAAGCTATAGTTTAAAGGGTTGGCTGTGGGGGAAGAAAGTCCTGGCTGTAATGATCTTATAGGCTGAATTACATGATTTATTGCCCTTAAATCCTGTAGCAACCTCCAATTTCGTGACTTTTTCTTAATAACAAAAATAGGTGTATTCCAAGGACTGAGTGTTGGTTCTATATGACCAGCCTGAAGTTGTTCCTCAACTAACCTATGAATTATTTTAAGTTTTTCCCCTGAGATGGGCCACTGAGAAATCCATATAGGCTCCTCTGTGAGCCAGGTAATTTTTTCAGCTGTCTTAGGGATCAAGGAAATACTCAGGATCCCTAGTAAAAATTTTGGCTTGGAGCATTTACTAATTTTTTGCTGTGGAGTCTGGTTTGTAAACAGATACTCTCCCTGAAAGGTCTCCTTATCATCTCCAGGAAAATACCTCTGATTAACTTCCTCAATTGTTCTTATAGAATTCGGAGTTACTAATAACAATCCCATTTTTGCTAAAATATCCCTTCCCTATAGGTTTGCTGGTAAAGACTCTAACACATAAGGTTTAAAAACTCCACTGTTCCCATCAGAATCTTCCCAACAGAGATAATTTGCACTTTGAGCAGTCTGTGAAATCTGTCCAATTCCCTCTAGGTTAGCTGGTGCTACATGTAAGGGCCAATTCCTAGGCCAGAATCTACTAGAAAAGACAGAAATATCTGCACCTGTGTCTAGAATACCCTTGAAATTTTTATGATTAATTTTATGTTTCAATAAAGGGCGCTCTTTTTGCACTAACTGAGACCAGTACACTCTGTCTGGTGGTTTAGAAACTGAATTTACTTGCGGGTGTTTATCTGAATCACAGGGCAATAAAATCAATTGGGCAAATGCATCCTTTGGAGTAAGCTTTAGGGCATAATTGGACCTTACAGTAACATTTAATTGTCCTTTAAAACTTGAATCTATCACTCCAGGTATTACCTCAATGGCTCCTTTTAAATTATTACGCCCCAAAATTAAACCTATAGTATTATCAGGAAGCGGCCCGAAAATCCCAGTAGGGATTTGTTTTGGCCCTGATTCAGGATTCAATTCAATTGTCATTGAGGGTCGTAAGGAAACTGTCTGTGATTTATGTTCCGGTAAAAATGGCGGGCCGTCCTGGTCGGCACCAGTGACGTCACACTGTGCGACCCCTCCTCCAATTCCCCGTATTTTTGCTCGGCCCCGGGAGGGGCCGACCGGAAGTTTTTTGTTCTCCCACTAGGAGGAAATGATGACGAGAAGGTGGGCTGATCCACGCCATCTTGATCCGCCACGTGGGGTTGAGTCCTGCAATATCTATTATCAACAGTAGATGAAGCCCTGAACTTAAAATTACGAGTGCGGCATTCTCGGGCAAAATGATTATTTCTCCCACAGAGATAGCATCTTCCGCGTGGTTTTTGTACTAATTCCTGCAGTTGTAGGGTTTCTTTCAAGGCCGCAGCTAACGTTACTGTCTGCAAATGGGTGGAATCAATCTCAGAACACAAGCGGATAAACTCAGAAACTGTTCCCTTTTTACGATGGGGTCTGAGAACATCCTGACAATATTTATTTGCATTTTCAACGCCAATTGCTTAACGATAAACTCGCATGCTCCTGGGTCTCCTATAGACCTATTTGCTGTCTGATACAATCGGGCTACAAAATCGGAATACGGCTCACTGGCACCTTGTTTGACTCTGGTAAGAACTAAATTGGACTGGTCCTTGGAAACTATTTGTTTCCAGGCACGTTTAGCAAGTCAGTTATCTGATCATACACTGCAAATTCATAATTTAACTGTCTTTCCAAATCAGTAAATTCACCCATTCCTAAAAACATTTCTACTGGGGTCTGTAAATTTTGTCTTCTATTTTTTTCTGCTTGTTCAGTACAAAAATCAGCCCAATAAGAAAGCCAAAGTAAGAAATCTCCTCCACTCAAACAAGATCTGGCTAATGAAATCCAGTCACTCCTTGGAAGTGGTTGTGAGGATATGGTATCAATCAAGTTTTGTACAAAAGGTGAATTCAGACCATATGTCTCACAAGCACTCTTCAATTCCTTAATAGTCTTAAATGGAATTAGAGCATGAACTCAAACTCTTTGGTCTTGGTCACTAACCTGTTCAAAAACTGGGAAAAGTTGAAAACCGCTAATGTCTTCCCCCACCTCCTGCACCTTCTTAATACCTCACTGGAACGGGGTAAGAAAAGTCATTGTTAATTCAGAGTACCTGTTAAATTTTGTCCTTTTAGCAGATAATGGCTGAATTCTAATAGCCTGGGCAGGCGATGTGAAACACAGTCTGTTAAAATGTCTCTGTAAGTCCTGAATTTCAATGTCTGATTCCTCTCCCTCTGACTGCGACTCGTGGGAAGAATCTCCGCTGTTGCCATTTTGAAATTGGGCTTCTAAGCCACGTGGTGGAGAAGGGCTTTGTGCCTCTCTAAGAATTTCTTCCGGATTTTCCTCTCTGGGAGGATTGTCTATCTCTTCTGGAGGACTCTCTATGACTGTGGAGGTTTCCTCTCTATGACCCTGATCTCTATGACCTTCCTCTCTATCATCTTCCTGCAGGCTAACCTGATCTGCAAGTTCAAAGTCACATTCCTAACTTTCGGTTTAGCCCCAAGAGCTTTTGTTTTTAAATGGCTCAAGGGAAAAGAAATTAACTTAGCCTCAGGCGGATTTTCCATTTTAATAGACCTAATAGCTCTCTGAATGCCTTTCAGTAGATCTTCAGGGGGCCTCGAACTCTGGCCCATGTATTCAAAAAGACAAATTTCCAAGGCCTTCCACGTTTTCTGAATATTTTCTATGCCTCCGGGTAATTCATTAGAAAGGCATTTTTTTTTTTTTTTTTTTTAAATTTCCTCCCTAGTTTCTCCCAAGTAAGTAAATTTGGGGCTTCCTGGTTACAAAACCAAGGGCAAAATTCACCTACAACCTTTAAGAATTGTAATAACTGAGTTTTTTTTTAAATCTGTTTTCCTTTCTGATTAATTATGGTGTCTAGAATAGTCAGATACATCTCCTTATCCATAGAAGTTGAATTTCCCATTTTAATTAATTTAATGTCTCGTTGCTTCAGTACCTCCAGGTACTTTTGTGACCCAAAATTGTCACCAATTCCTTTATCTTTATAACATGCTCCCACTCAATCTAGTTAAGCTAAAATGCCTCCTCATTGGGCGCCAATTCCACCGCGCGACCAGCACACTGGTTTCATACAAGAGGTTCGTAGCATAGAAGTTAACTAGTGAGATCAAAATAAACACACAAGACTCAATTACCTTTTTTTTTGACCAGGTCCCAGATGGCCCTCCCTCTAGCTCTCACCTCGAACCACCCAGTGGGACAGCAAGGCTTACTTAGGACTAGCAGGAGAGAGAGAGAGAGCATGCCAGGGAGTGGCCTTTTATTGGGGAACAAGAAATTCAGGGGGAAAATTCCATCCAATGAAGGTCAAGGGGGGCAGCATTCCAAGGTCAGGGTCAGTGATTGGTCTCAGGGTCAATGGTCAGTCATACCCCCACATGGACAGGCTCTTGCACCTGGAGAGGGTGGGGATAAGCTCCAACACAATTTGGCCAGAACACCTCACACCCAATCAGGGAAGTGCCCAATCATGTGCGAGAATGGCTCCCCACAACCATGAGTATGAGAATTAAGTATTTGCGCCTTCACATATTTATAGGAAAACACCAGCAGTGTGCTTCCCATAAGGTCAGAGAGTGTGTGCCATTCACAGTAGAACTAATTTTGACCTTTTCACTGCTAAAGTACTGGTGCAAGATGGTCTATGTGATCTAGTTTCAAGAGGAGTGATAGAGCTTTGTGGGTAGCGGAGAGCTGCCGCTGAATAAAAGACACAGGTCAAGCAGAAATAGCTCAAATTTGAACCTATGTGAAGGACAGATGGCTGCAAATGGTCATTTGCTTCCTCATCACTGAGCTATAGAACATAGCCACTTCCTACTCAGGTGACAACCAGGGCACCTGCTTACTTATTTTCCATATCCTGGATGGTGTTAACAAGAGGCTGATTTCTGGTTTCTGGAAGGGGCAAGAAAACAAGGTCAGCAAGGAGGGTGATGACTCCATAGATGATCCAGGGCAAATGGAGAAAATAACCCAGTAAGGTCATCAGGAGAGGAGCCAGCATTGCCCCTGTTCTCTGGAATACTGTAGTGATGCCTCCCAGTGTTGACCTTAGGATGAAAATAACAACACAAAGAAAATCTTGTACAAATCTGTATATATATGTTCTCACTTGTCAACTCCATTTCATTTTGGGAGACAATATGGCAGAGTTATGGAACACATGGGCTTTGACAACCAGCTTTTAATTGTGATATTGACCTCTATTGATTCCTTAGTCAGTTTCATCATTATTAAAATAAGGATATGCATAGCACCAATCCTGTAGAGTGGCTCTTAAGATACAATAAAATGCTGCAGTAAAGGACGTGGAACATTGCCAGGCATAAAGTTTATTTTAAATAATTGTGGGTTATTAGTTGCTTTTAAAATTTCTATTATAATTCATGTCTTGGACATCTAAACAGTCTCAGTTTTCTCCCTGCAGTAAATGTCAATCAGTTAAGAAAGTTCTGTTTGGAAAGCAGACAGCTCTTGTACCTGAATGCAGTGGGGAGGAGCTCAATTTGGTGGAGAGCAGAACCAGTGCTGGCAGCAGACACAGCTCCAATTCCCAAAGTTGCTAAAACCACACGCAGAGTCTGCATTTCTGGAGAGAAGAGACCAGGGAGAATAAAAAATCTTGGCTGAAGAAATCTGTCTATCCCTAACTAATTGTGGGGTGATTTTGTTGTAGGGTTTGCAGGTGAGAAACAAATGACAGACAAAGTGCAACCCCTCAGAGATGATGGAGAAATTGATGAGCTACTGAATGCTGGGCTGAAACACTGAACCAAAGGATCTAAATCTCTTGCTTCAATTTTCTTTGATCATTTGAGTATTGCTCATAATGGTGGGAATAGAGAAATCAGGAAATATTTGTTTTTATTTACTCTGTCAGATTTTTTCAGGGCTTTTTCTGGAGGGCCTAGAACTATATGTGAATGAAATCTGAGGAGTTTATGACCCGTGTCTTGAACAGCTTAGAACTAAGAGTATGGGAACAATGCGTGATGTAGGGAAGGTCCTCCTCCACATAGTGACAAAGGGATTGGACAATCTGAAGAGAGGCAAGTTCTAGGCAATAATTCAGGATTTTAAAAGCCTAACATTAGGAATCCTATTCAGAAGTGAATAATGTCATACTGGGAATTAATCACATACTTTTGAATTACTGAATTCACAAAGGTTAAATATATTATTTTTAATTCAATAAAATATTCTAAATAGGACTTTAAAAAATAGAATTATTCTCCTGTTGGGGGTAAGAGTGGAGACTTCCAGTCTGAAATTCTACAAAATATGTTTCTGCTATGAGAACATGGTGGAACATTGAGACCACTGAAATTCCCACAATCATTAATGAGATCATTTAATTTAGTAAAGTAAGTTGGTTTCTAGTGTTTTTTATCAGTGCATTATTTCTATACATAATAGTGGGGTTCATTTTAAAACCTTCATAAGTGCATATGACATAATTTGCTCCATTTCAATTACTAGTACTTCCCTTTTCATACACCTCCTCCATGACATAATTTGCTCCATTTCAATTACTAGTACTTCCCCTTTCATACACCTCCTCCATCCCCCTGGTCCCTTTTCTCTACTTTACTGGTCTTTTATTTATTTTTTGATTTTAGTTGGTACATTTTAATTATACATAAAAGTGGAATTCATTATTATTTTCTTGTCTAGGGACAGATTACAAAACTATTAGAAGACATATTAAGATTATACTCTTGTTTTACTCCTGCTGTGCTCTTGCTTTCTATCTGAAAACGAGGGATTTTTATTTCACTGAATTCAAGGAGGCTTTCCTAAAAATGTATTCAGGAGGCTTTAAGAATCAGGAAGAGTCCCAGGGAGAGTATCACATGCCCACGTGGAGATGCAATTGCAAGGCCTACCTCCTCCATGATTGTTATGAAAAGTGTAATTGGGAGGGGCATGAGAGGATTAGATGAACTCTAGATAGGGCAAAAGGGAGGGAGGGGAAGGGAAAGGACATGAGGGTAGGAAAGTTGATGGAATGAGATGGACATCATTTCCCTAAGTACATGCATGAAGACACAAATGGTGTGACTCTACTTTGTGTATAACCAGAGATATAAAAAATTGTGCTCTATGTGTGTAATATGAACTGTAATGCATTCTGCTGTCATACATAACAAATTAAAAAAAAGTGTAATTAGCCAGAGGCATGGGGTTAGTTCCTCTTCTTTTTTTTTATTGGTTGTTCAAAACATTACAAAGCTCTTGACATATCATATTTCATACATTTGATTCAAGTGGGTTATGAACTCCCATTTTTACCCCGTATACAGATTGCAGAATCACATCGGTTACACATCCATGTTTTTACATATTGCCGTACTAGTGATTATTGTATTCTGCTGCCCTTCCTATCCTCTACTATCCCTCCTCCCCTCCCCTCCCATCTTCTCTCTCTACCCCATCTACTGTAATTCATTTCTCTCCCTTGTTTTTTTTCCTTTCCCCTCACATCCTCTTATATGTAATTTTGTATAATAATGAGGGTCTCCTTCCATTTCCATGAAATTTCCCTTCTCTCTCCCTTTCCCTCCCACCTCTCATCCCTGTTTAATGGTAATCTTTTTCTCATGCTCTTCCTCCCTGCTCTGTTTTTAGTTGCTCTCCTTATATCAAAGAAGACATTTGGCATTTATTTTTTAGGGATTGGCTAGCTTCGCTTAGCATAATCTGCTCTAATGCCATCCTTTTCCCTGCAAATGCCATGATTTTGTCATTTTTTAGTGCTGAGTAATACTCCATTTTGTATAAATGCCACATTTTTTAATCCATTCATCTATTGAAGGGCATCTAGGTTGATTCCACAGTGTAGCTATTGTGAATTGTGCTGCCTTGAACATCGATATAGCAGTATCCGTATAGTACGCTCTTTTAAGGTCTTCAAGGAATAGTCCGAGAAGGGCAATAGCTGGGTCAAATGGTAGTTCCATTCCCAGCTTTCCCAGGAATCTCCACCCTGCGTTCTAAATTGGCTGCACCAATTTGCAGCCCCACCAGCAATGTACAAGTGTACCCTTTTCCCCACATCCTCGCCAGCACTTGTTGTTGACTTCATAATGGCTGCCAATCTTACTGGAGTGAGATGATATCTTAGGGTGGTTTTGATTTGCATTTCTCTGACTGCTAGAGATGGTGAGCATTTTTTCATGTACTTG